GTATCTTAATTGCTCAGAAGTTATCTCTCGGCAACTGGACAATGCATCCCTCCGTATCTTAATTGCTCAGAAGTTATCTCTCGGCAACTGGACGATGCATCGTTCTGTGTCTAAGTTGTGTGTCTTGCTATGTACACGGCGAACACCATGAGTGTTTTATTCTTTATGAGCGAGTAGTCTATCGGCAGACATCACACCGCGCAAACAAGTCGTTTCGTGAGGATTCGGTCATTGAATTGGCTAAGAGTTGTGATGACTCTTGCAATTGGTTTCTATTGAGTTTCGTGATAACATAAGGAGCGATCTTATCTCACGAAAACTAATTACATCGCAAAAAAAACTAAACACTGTAAATTCGTATATTTTCGGATATTTGTATTTTATATATATTTAAATATGTAATTTTATCATAATTTATGTAATTATATGGAATCTTTTTTCTTACTAACTGAAGGAGGAAAGGTGGCTAACAAGGATCGAGCCGACGACCCACTCACGACGGAACGTTTAGAGCGAGCCTTGGAGCCTCTCGTTCTTATGCAATCCGACAACACACACGTACGTGTATAATGATAACGTTATAATTTTTGTGTTAACTTGGAGAAATGTTACGACTATTTTAAGATCTAACTATGTAGGCCATCGGTTCCTTTGGACAATTAAAAAACCTAGGTGACCTTTCTTACAAGTTTAACACAAAAATTACAATGGTCGAGAGAGTCCTTCATTATACGTGACAGAAAGCCAACGCCTGTCTCTGATTATCCATTAGGCCTTCGTGATTATTTATCCACCTGCTACAAGATTGGCAAGAACTCACTACATCATGTGATACTTTTGTTTGGCTTGTTGTGAGAGTGCAGGGAGTTGTAGTACGGTGCAGACGAATGGCCTGGGTGACTAACCAGACTTTACTGCGAAAAACCAAACTGGCCATCCCCATTCAGCCATCAAGTGTCGAGCCTTAAAAAGTTAATGAACGAGCGTGTAAGAGTAACAGCCCGTCCGCTTCAGCCATCAAGCATCGAACCTTAAAAAGTTAGCTCATAAGAGTAACAGACTATCATGTATAGACCATCATGTGAAGCCGTTGGTTAACGAACGAGCGCGTAAGAGTAACGGCCCGTCTCCTTCAGCCATCAAGCATCGAGCCTTAAAAAGTTAGCGCAAGAGTAACTGACTATATCCCCTTATACCGTCGACCGTCAGGCTTTAAAAAGTTAACGAACGAGCGCGTAAGAGTAACGGCCCGTCTCCTTCAGCCATCAAGCATCGAGCCTTGAAAATTAGCGAAAAAACCTCGCGTTAAAACAAATTAAGGTTAAAGTTAGTGTGTGAGAGTAACGGTGGCTTTGCTTGTGTTGCTTGCAGAGGCTGCGCATGCTCGAGCATCGGCTCAGCATGATGGCGAACCAGCAGAGTGGGCAGGGCAACATCCTCTGGCACCGCGACTGGTGGATCGTCGTCGTCATGCTCGCCTTTCAAGCCGTGCTGCACTGGCTCTTCAAGGGCTGATGACGTCACCTCGATCGACTCGGCGGGGCAGGAAGAGGGAGAGAGAGAAGGGGGAGGGGGAAGAGAGAGAGGAGGGGGAAGAGAGAGAATGGGGAGGGGGAAGAGAGAGGGGGAGGGAGAGGAAACTTCCAGGCCATGCTGCACTGGCTCTTCAAGGGCTGATGACGTCACGTCGCGGCAGGGCAGGGCGGGAAGACGGAGAGAAGGGGGAGGGGGAGGGAGAGGAAATAAGGGAGAGATTGAGAGTGAAAGTAAAAGAGAGAGTGAGAGAAAGAGAAAGAGAGAGAGTGTGTGTGTGTGCGTGCGTGCGTGCGTGCGTGCGTGTGAGGGAGATAGAGAGAGAGAAAGAGGGGGTGGCATGGATGAGAGAAAGAGAGAGGGGGAGCGCGCGCGTCAGAAAATGGTGGTCCTGCCCTGCTTCGCGATAACAAATCAAATGTTCTCGGCAAGAGATCACTCTGCAGGGTGACTTACCCAAGCAAGCGCAACGTTGGAATTCCACACCGCCGTGTACATGCGTGGACAACACAGCGGCGTGTGCGTAGAAACGCAATAGCAACGTGTCCTTCCTTTTTGTAAACCATATATAGCGGCGCGGTGCTAGAAGAAACCAGACGTAATGTTCCAGTGTTCTGTGTTGACGTCAGACCGTGGTCTGCCGACAATGCAAGCAACATGTGTTATCGGCTGCTAGCTTCCTTCGACTACTCTCCCAGAATGAATCGAATGATGGCTTCGAAGAATGATGCAAACCATTAGTTTTGCACTGCGGTCGTTTCTTTGACCTGACCGCCGTATATATATATATACACACACACTATATATAATATATATATATACTATATAATATATATATATATATATATATAGTATATACATATCTACGCTACATATATGTGTGTTATGTATACATGTTAACGCACAGGCACACCGGGTGTTACTCTCGACAGCATTCGCATATCGAGGATCTGATCGCAGCTGTATACTGTGACGCATGTATAAACTCCTACATAGCTAGACAACAGATATGTCAAGTCGCAAGGTCTGGCGCATGCGCTGTTGAAGTGAGAATGCGAAAGTGCGTGCGTGCGTTGCGTGCGTGCGTGCGGCGCTCATGCTAGTCACACGCGGGAAATAATAGTCTAAATATCAAAAGCCTGTGAATGAGTGTGGTCGGACACCCGGTGATTATAGGCGGGCGAGTCCGTACCACGAGTATCGGTCGCAGGCACTTGGAGCAGCGTTTCAATAAAATATTAATGCTAAATAAATACGAAATCTATTTTACTAACAAAGTCTTAATGGTTTCTCTACTCTCTTTTCGCCCCTATTTATTGCTCGACAATTTCCTCCGTAAATTTCCGTGCAAATGCTTCTCTGCAACACTCACATCGTACACCGCAACGCACTCTTAACGCACCGCTGACGAATATTATACTATATATAGACTCATATAATCATCTAATATATATTATTTATACTATTGTGTCCAGTGTGCGGAGCGTGCGCGCGTGTACCCATGTGTGTTGCAAGAGGAGCATTTAAACGGAATTACCAGGAATTGTTCGCAATATAGACGAAAGAGAGTATGAGAAACCATTAAGACTTTCGGTATAAATAAGAGTTCGTATTTATTTAGCATTATTTTTATTGAGACGCCTCCAAAGTGCCTGTGGCGGAGGCGGCACCCGCTGCTCGCAAGTGTGAAATGTTTTAGTCGTTAAGCAGTATCGTTAGGCGGCCGAGTTGCGTTAGACACAGTCCGTGTTAGTGTAGCTGCTCGCATTGTCCGACCGCGTGCAGGGACGAACGGCTGTGGTTATATAGTCGATCTGTTATGAGTCAGTGCATCGAGTAGGCCAGGTCGACTGAACTTACCCTATACATAGCACATATTATAGTATAGATTTATATAGCAGTTATTATAATTATATATATATAATAGTTATAGTATAGTATATAAGTATAGTACATAGTATATATAATAGGTATAATTTTAGTGCTTGGAATTAATTTTTAGTGCGATCTGTTGGTGAGAATGGTCCAGAAGAGCAGGCAACGTAATGGAGGTGTATGTGCCAGTATCAGTAGAGGCAGGGGCGCGCACCGCATTTGTGCCACGGCTCAGTAATATAATAGTATATGCAAATGACTGGTACCATACACACATGTTGAGATATTATGAGATGAGAGATTCGTTACTAGTTTTAATAATATCATATGTTACGTGCAATGTCGACCGCACTGCTTTGCTAGTTAAGCTTACTATGGACAACGTTGTGACACTGTTTGGATTCATTAAATTGAAACGTTTCTGATGTATGGAACAGAGATAATGTATACAATTATCAATCTGCTTTAGAATATAAACATGGCCCGGGCTGGCATTTTGTTATTTTTCTGCCGACGAGTCAATTGGCTTACTCGTGTTGCCAACGCAGCAGGCGCCCACAGCCTTGAAAGTCCTTGGATTTTGTCCCTTAGTCCTTGAAAAGTCCTTAATATTTTGTCCTTTTTGTCATTGAAAGTCCTGTGAAAGAGGTCCAAATCCTTTTAGTGCTAATGTCCTAGAGTTTAAATTTTTGATCTAACAATAACCCAACCAGAGCAAAAAGCCGAGTCAGCAAGGAATCTTATGCTGGTTATCTGACGATCTATTCTAAAAGTCTTCAACTAAAAACTGATTAAATTTAAATTCAAAATCGCACATGTCCATCATAGGGAGAGTCTGTGTGAGCGGAGAAAGGTAGAATAGAGAAGTAACCTATATTTAAAGAATACGAGCATCCATGCCTGGCTGGTTGATGTGCCGGTAGTGCGTTTGTCTGGCGCATTGCGTGTGGATTGCGGCATCTTCCTGTCTGCATTCCTTGCCATTCCTCCGCCCCTACCTCCTCTTCTCTCCTCTTTCTTCCTCCTCCCCCTCTTTACTGCCGTTTCCCCTCAGTGATTGTCCCTCCCCCTCATCGCGGATAGTATCGCCGACGGCATCAGTTGCACGGTGAAAAGTTAGCCAGGCAAATGGGCCGGTTTCAGCCTCTACTGTTTTCAGCTACCAAAGCACAAATATGATTATACGGCTTAATACGCGTTTTTTCAGCCCACGCCAAAACAACATTACACATTCCACTAACGGACGCGCCACACGACGCGGTATGTCACACGCACGCGTGCGCGTGTATTATAGGCGTAAATTCACATTTTGTGCCTGCGCCGAGTGAAAAAGTTCGACTGAAATAACGGCCATTTGTACCTCTGCAAAAGTTTTTTCCATGCTTGACTGGTCGTGGGCGATACTATCTGCGAGAGGGAGTAATGGAATGTGATTTACTTTTATTCACTGTTAATGTTACTGCCTGACACTGTGACACAGCAGATAAAAGGTCTGCATAAAGAACAGGCAATTGTTTATTATTATTATTAAATCTTTATTGGCATGTAAATTCACTACAAATACATGTTACTAAAGAACAGTCTTGTTTCATGGATGAGCAAAATCTAATGAATGCAATAGTGTTGAGACAAGTTAAAATTAATAAAATTTCTCAGTGATACTAGTAGCCAAATAACATATGAATGTAATAGCATAGTTTACCGAGTAGAATAATAATTTACAATCAAGCTTATACATATTGTTACAGAGACTGGTGAACATATGATCTACGTTGAAACTGACGAATATGAAAACGTCATATTGGTAGCGTACGGTAAGTCAGAAAGCGAGGCTATAGCAGCTGGTTTATATCTGCTGTTCGGCACATCGTAGTTAAAAACACTATTTTTACTTATATATATGGAATTTAATCCATAATATATGATGACACTCTAAAAAAGCTATAAAAACAGAAATTAGTCGCAGATTGTTCTTGAAAAAGACTATGTCATTGAAAGATAGCAGCTGTGAAAAAATAAACTTCACACTTTGTGGCAACCATGAAGCGATTCATAACACACTAAACGATGCAAGACACAAAACGCAAGAGACACAAAAACTCACTG